CCACTTATACCATCCAGTTTTATCTCTGTTGCCTTCACTACCCTTTTTCTTTTTTTTTTTTCCTGTACAAGCTAATAACATTCGTTTTACTTGTTTCCTTAAACAAAAGGAGGAGCAAGAGGCCCAGGCCACCATCCCTGTGACACCCTCAGCAGACAGGGAGACGCAGGGGCCACCCAAGGCGGCACAGGTCAGGAAACCTGAGCAGGATACTGGTCTGGCCCCTTGTCTGCACAGAATGGCTTGGAGGGGAGGAGTGGTGTCCTGGGCTTTTGGGGGGAGAGGTCAGGGTCATGTGAGAGGCTCCACCCAGTCCACAGCCTGAAGGCCAGAATGAGCATCTTGAGAATGAGTAAGAACACCTCTGTTGGGGCCTGAGGCCTGAGCACCGGGTCACTGGGACTCCATTAATTCACTCCCCTCATTCATTCCTGGGTTGGAGCCTTCTCTGGTTCCCCCGGCTCCTGGACTGCAACTGGTTGCTCTGTATTGTAACTAATTTTCTGCCTCATCACTACCCTCTTTTTCAATCACATCCAGAATGCTATACTGTCCTCTCTCCCTCTCAATCCCAACCCTTAAACTTCTTTCCGTTCCTTCTCCAATCATTCTCTTAAATGGGGCCAGTGAAAAATACAATGGTGGTGTATACTAATCCAGGAAAAACGATGTATAATGACAAAAAAACAAGAACACATTAAAAACTACTTCCAAAGTTCTCAAACGCTTATAGGCTGCAACCAGAATCTGTGATATTATTCAGGCCCATTATTTCTTTATGTCCCAGGGTTATTTCTAGATGTTCAAAATCAGTGGTCGCCAACCGGTGGTACACGAGGTCCGAAAGGTTGGCGACCGCTGGTCTAAATGACACCACTATAGTTAGGCATGGTCATTTATCTATTCAACAAACTTTTAGACTAAGAGAAAATATAAATGATTAAAGCTCTGAACATGGACTCACATGAACAATCCCAGGCAGGGCTGCCACATTGCCAATTTGTTTCATGGCAGGCAGGAAGCCACCAACACCTGAAGACAAAAATTCAAAATTAGAGGACACATTTGCTTTTTAGTAAGCATATTTCTACATTTCTAGGTTGCATTACATGAAGGGAAGTGATTAGGACTACTAAAACAATATAAAAGGACGTTTGAGATGGAAGTGTGAAGGCAGCTTCTTTAGAAGGCAGCACATGCGCAGAGAGGTAGCGAGGGCAACCAGACTAATGACAAACACCTGTCAGTGTTCTGTGCAAACCAGGGAAGGCTGTTTGCAAAAGTACTGGGAAATGTAAAACATAATTATTAAACATTATGTTGTCAATATAAAAAATGTATTCTTTCATAGTTCACCTTTTTATAAAAAAACATCAATATTGGTTTTACTCTAAGTGACAAAGAGGGGCAATGTGGAGTTGAAAAAACACGGGATTAAGAGTCAGGGAACTGGGGTTCTAGCTCCAGCTCTGTCACTTGGTCGCTGTCATTTTAGGCAAGTGAACATACTGTGGCAGGAGGCAGGTGGGACTAAGTTTGTTGATCTAAAAAATAAAAGGATTAAAATTAGGTTTCAATTCCACCATTACTATTAGAGCTTTTTACATTTTCTCATAAGCTCACTGTAATCCTGCAAAATAGGTGTAATAAAATGTCCTTTATAGATGAGATAACTGAAGTTAAGTAAGGCTAATCAGTGTACTGGTTAAGAATACTGACTTTGGAATCAGTTACTTCTGGGTCTGAAATCTGGCTCTGTCACCAAGAAGTTGTGCAACCTCAGACAATTAAAATTAGTTAGCCTCACTGAACCTTGACTTGCACATCTTTAAAATGGAGATAGTATCTTCCTCTTAGAATTCCTCTAAGAATTACATGAGATAACCTAAGTTAAGCACCTGGTAAAGCGCCTGGCACACAGTAAATGCACAATAAGTGATAGCTCTTATTATTATCCAAGGTTGGCTTCAAAACCAACCAGTTCCATCCAACTCCAAATGGTTTCTACAAGGTCAGGTAGCTAACAATATAAGCACAAATTAAAAACAGTTTTTTGGGTCTCATTTCAAGTCTTGGTCGTTTCTTGACAATATTTCTGTACTTTTAAATAATTATCTGAATTACCATATTTTTCAGGCTACAGGAAAGACATTACTTACATGACCACATATAAAATTCTAATGCACTTACCGCCACCTCGACACGCATTCCTTAATTCCTCAAACATTAATTTTTCCAGAGCATCATTTACATAGAAAATTCCTTCAACCTGGTACCAAAGAAAATGAAGAACTATGTCTGAGCACATGTACATGACATACAGACACTGGATAGAATACAAATACTGTATGCAATATTCATTTTGCTTTACTCTTTTATAAAATACTTTCACATTACCTTAAACAAGCAGAAAACTTCCTATAAAAAAGTACAAGATGTTCCCATCCTTAAACACAGTTGCCCCCGAAAAACGTGGGGGTTTAAGGCACTGACAAACCCCTCCCCCAACCAAGTAGTTGAAAATCTGTAACTTTTGACCCCCCCCCCAAAAAAAAACCTTTTAACTACGAATAATAGTCTAACTGGAAGCCTTACTGATACCATGAACAGTTAACATGTACTTTGTATATGTACTAGTACTATATTCTTACAGTAAAGTAAGCTAGAGAAAAGGAAACTTTAGTATTTATTGAAAAAAAGTCCATGTATAAATGGACCCATGCAGTTCAAACCTGAGTTGTTCATGGGTCAACTGTATATCTTAAAAATGTAGTATTTTGAAAGGTTCACCAATTGTTTTATTCATTCTCCTATTCTCAAAGCCACATTTAAGAATGTAACAGGTAAAACACTTTGTACAGGTGATAAAAGTCTTTCAATTGCCCTTACTGCCCAAAGGTCTCAGTGTTCTTGTGCTTGTACAATATCAATGGGTTTTAGTGTGGTGATGGCCGGAGGGGATATAGGGAATGAGGCAGAAGAGGGTAAAGAGGGGACAAATGGTGACAGATGGAGACTTGGCTTGGGGTGGTGCACACACAATGCAGTGCACAGATGATGGGTAGAATTGTGCACCTGAAACCTGTATCCATCTGTTAACCAGTGTCAACCCCATGCCTGCCCTGTGAACTTTCCAGGCTGCCGTGAGGAACAAAACCGCTTTATTAAAAACCAACGCGGACCAGCGAATGCTACAATCTGGTTCGGCGAACACCCATCTGTAAAGGTCACATGACCAGCAGGACGTGGAGGAATGGAGTTCCAGTCCCAGCAACTCTACCCCGGACTGGCCGTGCCACCTCGTAAAAGGCAACGAACGTCCCCGAAGCCCGGGAATGGAACGCCTCTTACGGTGCGTTTGTGACACTCATGTGTGAAAGGGTCTGCAAACGCCGCCTTCACACTTGCTGGGAACCCGCCTAGACAAACCCCGCTTAGCTCGTCCACGTGGTCTGGAGACCTTTCAGCGGGGAAACGGGGTCGGGACCCCGGTCCCGAGGCCAGAGGGTGGGGTGAGAGGGACTTTGATGGGGGTGGGGCGGCCCCAGCGCTCGTGTAGCCCCCGGCGGGAAGGCCCCGCCACCGGCTCTCCCTCCCCCCGTCTCACCTGCATGTTGGGCACGAAGCCCTTTTTGATTCTCCAGCAGTTTTTATTGATCTTTTCCAAGAACTGCAGCTCATCGTTGTAGTTGCGACTCATGGCGGCGACTACGGGTATCAACGCCCGGTGCCGCTTTGAAGAGAGCTGCCGCGCTGTCCCGGGATCCCGAGCACCACTTCCGGGACTCAGCGCGCAGGCGCAGCCGGCTCCGCAACAGGAGGGGCTACGGCAAGTACCGAGGCCCCAAACTCATCGCACAACCGCTTTTCTCTCAGTTAAGTTAGACTGCCCTCCCGTGTTTACCTTTTTTGGGTAGTCACTAGTCATTGTCTCCAGGCTAAAGCCAAGCGAGCTAAATCCAGCAGTTTTTAGCACGACCTAGCTACCTTTTGCTTTGGAAGTGCTTGTAGTACTGGAAAACGTGCAGAATCTGGGTCGGGTCGCTGCTCTAATGAATAGATCAGCCTGGAGTTTCATCCCCACCAGCTGAGAAAGATGAATATGTTTAAATAAATGCCACCACTGAACATTTGTAATGTTTCAGAATGAATTTGTGGATATACCTTGAATAACTTTTATGTCGCAAAAGAATACCCCCAAAGCATTAAACATGCGAGTTTCATTACAACAAGCACTGAAGGGGCAGCTGTTATGGCCAGATGTGCGCAGTCTTTCTTTGGCGACTCAGTACTCTATGATCATGCTTTTGTCTGCAGTGTCTCATGTTCAGAGTAGTAAGTGAGCTTTCAGTGATTTCAGTTTCTAGTCCTACTTCTTGTAAACAACGACTTGGGAATCAGAAAGACTTGGATTCAGTTTCTACTTTTGCCGTTTACCAGCTTTGTGTGGTTAATCTCTCTTGACCTTTGTGTCCTCATCTATAAAATGAGATGATAATTCTTCATAGAGAGGCTGTGAGGATGAAATGAACCGACACTCCTGAAGTAACCTACATAGGGTCTGGCATGTGGTTAGCACTCCAATCAACCGCTCTCTTCCATCCCCCGACTAGATTACAAACAACACAAAAGCAAAGTTTGTGGTTTCTATTCATTTCTTACATCCTCTATGCCAGTCTCCCCGTCCTCCTCTTTTGTCTCAATTACACCCCATTGATTAGGTGCTCCAACGACATTATCATCATCATCATCATCAAGTGTGAGTTATCCAGGGCTAGTACTCGGCACTGCCATTTCATTTAATTTGGGAAGGAAAACACCCTGAAACTTAAAGAAGTGATACAACTTCCAGACACCTAAGAGGCAAAATCAAGCCTTGAAATCTGTACAACCTCAGTTTTCATCAACATTAAAGATGCTAAATTCTCTTCCCTCTTTTCTGTCTTATTTTATTTTACAAAGGGACAGGAAATTTTGCAAATAAAAAGACAAGGTTGACATCGATAGAAAACAATTTTAATTAAATACAGGGGACAGTAGCAGTAAATATAAAACACAAAATCCAACATACAGGGAGGGGGAGAACCCTCGAGAGCTGAAAGGGCCGAAGGGATCTCCACTGACAACACCAATTCAAATCTGTCCTTACGCGTTTCTCACACATCCCTTCAGAAGCACAGGCCTAGCTCTTGGCCACAGAATCTTATAAACACAGAAACACACAACATGCATTGAAACATGAACACACATTCAACTGATCATCCCTACACATACACAGAGACACACACATCCTGATTTAACTCTTTAACCCAGTTTGCTCCCTCTGTCGCAGAGGGCTTGAGAAGGAAAACTTTCAGCCTAGGCACTCCACAGGAACTTTAAGACTCCAGCGTGCACTGTTTTCTCCTTCTCGGTTGACAGTTGGTGGGATTAAGGGCCATTGACTTCCTGGAGCGGACTCCAAACCAGCAATCAGGGCACTGATTTCCCCCTCCACTGTCCATTTATGAGATTCAGACCTTCCCAACCGTAGAAACTTGGTTGCTGTTTTAAGGGCGTTTCATACTTCAGGTCAGTGGAAATCAAAAGGAAATGCTGAAAAAGATGTAACGATGAAGATAAGGTGAAACCTGAGGCATCTATAGCCATAGGATGTCTGGGTTTACCTGAGGGGTGAGGAAGAGGTGGTTTTCTTTACCAGGTCCTACTGTGTCACATCCTCTCCTCCCCTACCCCACAGCCATGCCTTTTGCAAACTCCATAAACCACTTCACCTCTCTGAATCTTACTTTCCTCATCTATAAAATGGGATGGATACTCCCAGCCTTCCAGGCTGTCTTTTGGAATAAAGAAAATAAAAGTGCACTACAGTGCCTCTTGTTCTGTGGTGTGAATAAATTTGGCTGCAAAGGGAATTTGGACCTGGCCTGATTATAAATTCAAGTTTAAATGCTCTTCATTGTTAACTGGAAGCTTCAAGAGCTAAACATTTTGTTTATAAGATTCCTTGGGCTCGGAGAAAAACAAAGCAGAACAAAATAAAACAGAAGGTAAGCAAATAGAAGGAGGCTTATTCTACTATGAGCAGCAATGGGGCAGTTAAGAGACTTCACATTCTTACCTCAAGGACTTCAATGTCTGAATTGACGAATGAGATTTTGTGTGGGCTGGGCAGAGGAAATCCTTGCTGCAATTTTGCTAAAATACAAAACAAGATGTAACATAACTGGGCACGGGCACAGAAGTTTTGTCAAGCTTTTCAGTAAGAGACTAACAGGCAGCTTTTAAATAATCTATCTTTTCATTCTCCCTGGTCCTTTGTTTTCATTTTTTCTGACATGTCCCTAGCATTGCCCCGGAAGAGTGGTTAATTAATCCATTCTTAATAGAAATGCACCTGCAATTATGTGCATTTGGATGGCAGAAACATGCTGGCACCTTGTCCAATTTATATTTTGAAAACATCTTACTTTTTGGGTCCTGAGAACATTCTGGTCTCTAATACAAAGTATAATTTAATTAAGCCAAACTCAAGATGCTGCTGTGTGTGAACATTTGTCATTCATGAAAACTGTGTCTATCCAGATGGTGGTCTTTGCATAAGAACCAGAGAGACACTGACCGCTAAGGAGAATAATGCCATTTCTGGTTGAAGGCGACTCTTCCCTGTGTAAGGAGAATGGTTTCAATCTCCGTAACTCAACCAGAGATAGCCTTTCTTGCCGAGTCTTCATGCAGAGTTGCTAACAAGGCTTGGATCTGGAATAACTAATTTTGCAACTGTATCCTTGATGGTACAAACTTTGCAAATTGTGGCTCTGGCCTGGATTCCTAATAACACCTGAGAAGTACAAGCTTTGGGTGGAAAGTCCCAAACAATCCCCAACATTTGGCCAATGTCAGAGTCACATTGTTTCCCAAGGACCTCTTACCGTTGGCCAGTGGGAGGACGCCAAAGTGGAGAATGGAGGACAAAATATTTTCAAACCTCAAGACCTGAAATGAAAGGGGAAACGAAATCACTTGGGCATTGTGAAAGAGCCATGCCTGGGTTAGGCCTGCACTTTCCCAGACCTTACCGGGATAGAGAGCTATGATTAGGATCTCCCCATAGAGATACGTATTCTAGCTTCCAGACTCGGAAAGCTATTTTGTGGGAAACCACACTACAGAGTTTCCCAATCCCTTTTCCTCCTTGAGGATGGACATTTCTGCTCCCCGCTACCCTGGATCATGGTGACAACAAATGTCGAAGGACCATCTGGTGGCAGCAAACATGGCAGCTTAGATATCTACCAAGTAAGACAATCCTGGACAACTAACACATATCCCAATGCGTAGTCTTTCCTTAATTTACTGCGAAGCCCAGCCACAGCATTATGTTATGCGCCATGGTTAATGACATCACCAGAATGCCCAATTTATCTTTAATAAACTATGGTAGTTGTATAATCTTAGCAAAGTGCTGATTTCTGGGAAGGCTCAAGTATTAAAAACTAAATCGACTATGATAAACATGTATTCATTCAATGAATATTTTTTGAACACCCTCTAGGTTTAGCAATAATAAGGACCTCTTTGCAGCTTAACAAGGGTGGCTCTGAAGCAGATTTCCTAGCTTTACCTCTTGTTTATACCACTTTACTGTGTGATGCTGGGAAAGTGCCTTAACCTCTCTGTGCCTCAAGCTCCTCAACTGAAAAGTGACAATAACAGTACTCATCGCATAGGATGTTGTCAGGATTATACAAGTTAACATTATGCCTGGTATATACTATTGTCATTTTTCCCCCCAGAAATCTCATGGTTAGTACACTCTGTTGTTGGTAGCGAGCAGTTTTTCTGGGTCTTCCTGGAAGACCTGGACTCATTTTGACTCCTCGAGGCTCAGGAAATATTATTTACAAGACAGTCAGCTATGCATTCTCACTGACTATTGTCTGTCATCAACCAAATAGCTATGCCACAGAGGTGCTAATCCAGGGTGACCCTACTTGAGAACCACTGCTCTAGAATATAAGCGCCATGAAGTTGGATGCCAATTAGTGATTTGGAAGCTTGGGAGGGGGGCTTCCAAGTTGCATGCTGGGATATACTCTTCCAATCAGGAGGTCACCAGACTGCGCCCCCCACAAGGTATCTATACAACCAGCCTTGACCTAATTTTAGGAGATGGACAGAAAGCCTTTGAAGAGCAAACTTGATCATGGCCTAATAGCTGACATGGAGCCTCATTCTTTGGGAGTCAGTCTGGATCTTAAATTGAACTGTAGAGGATTATTTTATAAAATAATAAAATCTTCCTGAAAATGCATCTCCCCACCCCTGCAACATTACACAGTGTCTTAACAGTCTTTTGAGTACCTTTTAAAGTCTTTCTGAGTAGATAAAAGTGAATTGGAAAGTTCCTCTCTTGTTTAATAGTTAATGGGCTTGGTGGACCGACCAGTAGCTACAGAAAGAATTTTAAAGTTAAAACCTACACTCCTGGGAAAATCAAGTACTCCTCAAGGCATAAGAAAACAGCCATCCAACTACTCTATAGGAGGATTCACATTCTCCTTGGACAGGGAATGCTGAGACTCTGATTCCTACCTCAATATTGTCACGATTGGACTCTGGCAAAGAGAGGCGGAACCTGAAAACAAGACCACAAAAATCAACAGGTTAAAGGAGGAATATTTTAAAACAACCATTTAATTAGAAAGAAACAAAAGGGGTTGGAAATTTTTTTTAGCTCAATATGTTACTATTTAAAAAAACCACACCACCCAATCTTGTAAGGACATGATGTTCTATTACATCTTTACCCCTATATTCGCTGCTTAAGAAGCAGGGCAGGAATAGCAGAAGGCTTGGGTTCCCCAAGTGCTTTTGGTCTGTGGGACTTAGTCTGTTGGCAACTTGGAATGCAGAACAACCTTAATAGTTTTCAGTCAACAGCCATACCAACCCCGCCTCCCCCCGACCCCAATCTCCTCTGATCTCTGAAGCTAAGCAGGGTTAGGCCTGGGAAGTACTGGGTTGGGAGAACAGTTCCAGGTCTTCTTGCTCTGAACTCAACCTCATAACTTCTCTGATCCAGGCTGGTACCTTATTAATAAACATGATGATGATGGTGATAATGATGACACTATATGACATGTCCTAGTTTAGGAGATTTATACCCCTTTTTTAAAAATAATTTTTTTGTTAATCCTCATCTGAGGATATTTTCTCAGGGGGAGAGAGAGAGAGAGAAAGAGAGAAAGGGAGGGAGGAAGGGAGAGAGAGAGAAACATCGACATCGATGTGAGAGAGACACATCAACTGATTGCCTCCAGCACTTGGCCCAACCAGGGGTGGGGAAGAGAGAGAAACATCGATGTGAGGGAGACACATCAACTGATTGCCTCCAGCACTCGGCCCAACCAGGGGTGGGGAGTGAACCTGCAACCCAGATATATGCCCTTGGTCAGGAATCGAACCTACGACACACACTTTGGTGCATGGGCCAATGCTTTAACCACTGAGCACACCAGCCAGGGCTAAACATTTTTAAATTTAAACTTCACAATAACCCTGTGATAGATGCAATTATTGTTGCCCCTTTTGCAGATGAGGAAACTGATGATCAGAGAGGAGAATTAAATTACCCAGGTCTCAGAGTTAGCAACTGATGGATCTGGATGACAATCTCACTCTACTTGACTCTAGAGTCCATGCCCGGCCGAGGCCACAGCTCTCAGGAGGCTGTATCACCTATATCATTTTTTATCTGTTCAGTCATAACACATTGGGGAAACGTCAGCTCTGACAGCTGTCTGGCATCACAGGCAGTGCAGGGAAACTGTGAAAGGCGCTGCTGGGACATGGGGAGGGATGCCTCCTCTTGGTCACACCACCTCTCACGGACAAGGCAGACCAGGTTGGAAATCTGGCCACATAAGGTGGAACACATTTGTGAGTTTTCCTTCTTTTCTTTCATCACAACCCCAAGCCATGATTGGCCGCTTCAGGACCACCTCCTATGAGTGAGCTCGTCTGGGGTGTCCCACAGACCAACTGTCCTTTCCTCATAAGGCCATCTTCTGTCTCTCTCCTTGTTCTCTAGGCGCACTCACAGGTTTGCTTACTAATGGACACGTCTCACTGTCTGCAGAGAAACAGGTGGAGCAAAGAGCAAACTCTCCCTCCTCTGTTTCTGAAAAACATGCGAGTGCAGCTCAGACCACGAGGTGGCGACTCAGTTCAGTCCTTTGACCTCTCATTCTCTACCAGGCCTCTAGCCTGCTACAGAAAGCCTTGACACTAGGAACTAATTTTTATGACAGAACCACAGAGTCCTTGGGGAAAACGGGAGCTCAAATAGCCTTACTTTGCAGACATATAAGAATATAGCTTATTTAAAAAGTTTTGGAGAAGGTTTATTGTCCTGATTGAAAACCAGAGCTAAAGTGCAAACTCTGAAGCGTGGCAAGAGGCCCTTTATGATCTGGGCCAATATAGCAAATATGACACAATGAAAGTCAAGTGCAGCAAAGCACAGGCACTCACAAAGCCATTCCTCCAACCCTGTGGCCACAGCGGACATTGAAAATCAATCCTACACTCAATATCTACCCTATAATAATTGTTTATCTCTTTGCCTGATTGTGAACTCCTTGAGGATAGAGATTCAGTCTTAACTTTGTATTCCCAGATTGAGTACAGGGCATGGCACATTTAGGCACTTACTGTTCATTCATTCATCCATTCATTGATTCATCCAGCAGATATTTACTGAATACCTAATAGGGTTCGTTCGTTCATTCATTCATTCATTCATTCATTCATCCAGCAGATATTTATTGAATACCTAATAGATTGTGAGCAAAACCAGACACAGCCACTGCTCTCATGCAGATTATTATAGCCTAGTGGGGAGGCAGGCATTAATCAAATGATCCACTGATGAAGGTGTAATTGCAGATTGTGATAACTGCTATGGTGGAAAGAAATACATTCATGGAGGCAAATGAGAAAGGAACCTCATCTTACTTGGTGGTTACGGGAAGTTTTCCAAACCACGGAAAAATGTCCTTGAGCTAATATATAAGGGATGAGCAGGGTTAAATAGGCAAAAGGGAAAGGGAGAGAGAAGGGGTTGGGGCAGAAGTTGCAAAGGCCCCGTGGAGGGAACAGAGAGCAAGATGATGCTGGAGAGGCAGACGGGGTTGACCAGGCTAGGTTTCTCAGGCCATGTTAGAATTTTGATATTTATCCTAAGAGCGAGGAATCGACAGAAGGTTTCTGAGAAGGGAGGTGATGCCCGTGTTCTGTAAAGATCACTCTGGCTGCAGCATGGAGGGAAGACTGGCAGGTGAGAGGTTTCCCAGATGCTCAGTCTATGCTCAGTGATGTGGTTTGCAACGTGCAGAATTTTATTTATGTGAGGGATGGAGAGAAGCTGTGTGTGTAAGAAGCAATTAGAGAGCAATGCAAAGCAGTGTGTATTCAGGTGCTCTTTCGTGAGTTGCTGCTGGAAGTCTGAGAAGGTGGGACAAGGTAAAACAGCCAGTGCGTGTGTGTGTGTGTGTGTGTGTGTGTG